CCAGAAAGACAGCCAAGGGGCTGTGGCTCAGTGGCTGAGCGCCTGCTTTGTGTGCGGCGGGTGCCGGCTTCAGTCCCGGGCATCTCGGGTTCAAGGGTCTCTTTGAGCTAGGGTCCTCAACATGGTGTCCGCGGGAACCACGGCACCTGCCAATACCTTTCACAGTGGCCACCACATCTGAGGGATCCAGGGGTGGTTGGGGTGTGGCTATCTTATACAGCAGTGGTTGCCACGCGGAGGACCCGGGTTCGTTAGCCTCGGAAATGAAGAAGTGGCTGTCTTGAATTAAACAACCACGTGGCATAGCCATGCACCACAGCTTCTGACAAGTTGTCTGGGAAGCCAGGATCCAGCCACGACTCCTGATCCCCTCAGATAAGATGCTCATGAATGGATATGGTTGGCTGGGGGAATATTCAGGGGTCATTTCCTGTGGGAGCGCACAGGAGCGGAGCTCCGGCAGTAAAGAGCCCAGGGGGCGGGCACTTGAAACAAGCCCCGCCCCCTGCTCCCAGCAGCCCTCAGTCGGGCCACGAAGAGCAAGAAGCAGCCAGGTAAGTTGCAGAGGCTCCCCCCCCCAACCCGCCTTCAGGTACAAGCTCTCCCTCCTCTGTGAGCCAGCAATCCAAAACAGTCCAGTGGCACCTTTAAGACCAAGTTTTATTCAGGTACAAGCTCTCCCTCCTCTGTGAGGCCAGATCTTCACGTCCCCCCCCCCCATAGCTAGCAATCCAAAACAGTCCAGTGGAGCCTGAGCGGTGGGTGTTGCCTTCTGACACACTTCTGGTGATGTCAGGGGGGTTGGCATATGCAAATAAGCTATGCTAATGAGTTATGCTAACGAGCTCCTGCACCTCTTTTTCTACGAAATGACCCCTGGGAATATCTAAGGCATCATTTTGCATACTAAGGACATATCACGTGCCCACGTCTTGTCTGTGGCTTGTTGCTCAAAAAGATGGTGCTGGAGCAACCGTACGTGTGGGGTTGCTCTCCGGTCAACCACGTCAGGGGCTGCCCACTTGTCTTGCAGGCCTCTGGCTTGTGGGTACAACCAAAAAAAGGGGGGGGGGGAGAAAAACACAACCCTGCACAAGGCAACCAAAAAGGCTGAAACAAAGAAAAAGAAAGTAAAATATACCTGTGCACGTAGTGCAAATGTACGAAATATGTACAAAAACCGCTGCCACCAAAATCTTCCAGTTTGTCACTTCTGATGTTACAGGGTGAGCACTTATGTACCATAACTGTGAGCTATCAGATCACCACACAGGGAGAGTTTTCTGGGCACCCCATCCGTCTACTCAATGTTACCCCTGTTCCAAAGATGGAGCTGCTGCACAGGGCTATTTTTGGGCAGGAACACACAGGAACGGAGTTCCGGCTGGCTTCCAAGTTGGCCACACCCAGCAGGAGCTCATTAGTATAATAGGCCACACCCAACAGCAGAAAGTCATTAGGATTGGCTACATTAGGGGTGCGTGGCCTAACATGCAAAAGAGATCCTGCTACAAAAAAGCCCTGGGTTTTGACAACAAACAAGGTAAACAGAATAAGAAGCAAAAGGTGGGTGTGGCTGGATGACCACACTTCTGGTAACATGGGGGTGTGGCCTAATATGCCAACGAGCTGTGCTGTAATGGGTGTGGTCTAATATGCTAATAAGTTTCTGCTGTTGAGTGTGGCCTATTATGCTAATACGTTCCTGCTGGGCTTTTTCCACAAAAAAAGCCATGGAGCCGCCATGTGGCTGAGAAAGCGAAATGTTTTTGCAAATGCGAAAAGGGAAGTGAATTGTCCGGCCTGCCATTTGTCCCATCGATACCTCTAACAGACAAGGGTCAGCAACAAGTTGTGACATGGGAGACCTCAGCCTGAGACCCTGGAGAGCCATGACCAATCAGAGGAGCTGCATCTGTTTAGGGGACAGGCTATGGCTCAGTGGAAAAGCTTCTGCTTGGTATCCAGAAGGTCCCAGGTTCAATCCCTGCCTTTTCCAGTTAAAAAAACCTGGCAGTGGGTGATAGGAAAGACCTCAGACTGAGACCCTGGAGAGCCACTGCCAGCATGAACAGACAATACTGACCCTGATTGGCTTATTCAGGTATAAGGCAGCTTCATTTGTGTGTGAGATCCAACTCCATACAGTGAGGTTACATCGGTTGGTGTCGGAGGTAGGGCGGGGG